ATTTCTAAAAGGGCCAAAACCAAGCGCATTTACAGAAAGCCATACAAAGCACAGTCTTTCCCTGTGGTTTCAGGAATTCAAGCATTTGGCAAGATACTTTCACAGCTGTCTGTGTCTAAAAGAAAACTTTATCCTGGACAAGGAGCTTTGTGTTTTATAAACGCGCTAAGCGCCTGCTTCCTCCCAAGTGTTGTTAACACTTCCCAAGTTTGTGTTTATCAAGCTGTGTGTAATGGAATTATTTGTAGAACTTAATAGCCTTTGCTATTTTCCCATGGGAATTTTGCAGAAATTAACAGTGTCTAGTTTTTTCATGCATTTACTACATAACTGCGTATTTGCTGAATTGAACCATGTACCTGGAAATCTAACTATGCAAATACTTTGAAGCCAGTCAATCTTAAAGCCATGTCTAAAATAACTTTTACTACCACTTATGTTTCATGCTGACACCTTTTGTCCTTCAAAATATATCACATGTTTAATATAAATAAAACCCATATTAGTGTTCAAATAGACAAATTATTATGGTATGTTTTATAAACTTTACTTATAAAATCAGTGTGTGATAAATGTCAGTTATTTTCATCCTGGTTGTAGAACCTTAAGCTAATGCGAGTCTTCAGACTGGGACATATGCTTTTGGCACCAGCTGGTTATAAAACCTCATCACTCCTAAGTACCATTTAACAACAGGACCCAGGTGCCTGCCCACCAGTTATGAAGGGTACAGATATACCCAGGGACCAGTCACAATGCTGGGGACCTTGTGAGCCATATTTAGAGGAACCACTCATTTGGAGGCTGAGCTTTTGGCCAAGGAGCAGGATGATGAGGCCCTGTTACAGTTAGTAACCCCTGTGCAACTGCACTGACATAACTGAATCAACTGATCTTGTCTTTTTGCCAAGACTGACTTGTTCCCCCCCTTATGAAACTTTTACCTAAGTCAATGATTATTTGATTTATTTTAACATTAGATTTGTAACATGAGGCCACCATTATTTAACACCAAAGGGAAAGAAACAACAGCCTGTTACGGATATTGGAAGATAATCTCAAGAAAAGATCAAAATACAGGGGGAAAAAAAGAGTGGGTACTGGTCCCAAGACTTTGGGCCAGCCTCACAGGGCATAAGCATGAGATGGGAAGTGGAGTAGTCAGGACACAAACTGGCACCCATGTGGGATCCCAGCGCTTCCAAAGCGAAGATTTAACCATTGAGCCGTCACACCAGTCCCAACTCCAAAATATTTGAGAACGAGGAGGACACAGTAGTAAGTACGATTCACAGGAGCACACAGGAGAAATGCTGCTCCCCAGCCTCTCATTTCTCATCGAAGATTCTAGAAAGTGTTTACCGCTTGTAGGGCACAGCCATGTATACACAGTGACCACTGTGTGCGAAGCAACAGCAGCTAGGATTCAACAAAGGAGGGTTGATCTTCCTGGCCACTGCTTTACACTTCAGAGGAAATACATCTTGATTCTGTGATCGCCATAAGAGCACCTCACTTCTCTGTCTTCTGGTCTACCACACACAGTGTGGCCCACATAGGCTACAGGTTTCCTAGGAGGCTGAAGGAGGACAGGGATGGGGAGAAGAGGGGAACATGCAGAGAGACCCTCAGGATGCCTCCCATACTACAGCCAGAATTCCATGCTCACCAATTGTGCTTTAAATATTCCTATAAATAGCAAGCTTTAATAGTAACAGTTAAGGGGCCAGTCTGTGGCATAACATACTAAGCCTCAGCTTGAGGCACCTGCATCGCTGTATGGGCTCTACTTTCAGGTTTGGCTGCTCCATTTCTGAGCCAGTTCCTTGTTAATACAACTGAGAAAACAGCACATGATGATTCAAGTCCTTGGAACCCTGCATCCATGTGGAAGACCTGGATAAAGCTCTTAACTCCTGGCTCTGGGTTGGTCCAGCTCTGCCCATTGTGGACATTTGCGGAGAGAACCAGTGGATGGAAGATCTCTCTGTCTCTCTCTCTCTCTCCAAGTAAACAGATACATCTTTAAAAATAAAGAAATAAGTAACAGGGATTGCTATGGTGACGCAACATGTTGTTCCTCTACCCTGTGGCATCTGCATGCCAGATGGAAGCCAGCTTCATGTCCCAAGTACTCTGCTTCCAAACCAGCTTTCTGCTTTTATGCTATGGGAAAGCAGCAGAGGATGGCCCAAGTCTTTGGGACCCTGTGTCTGTGTGGGAGACCCAGAGGAGGCTCCTGGCCCCCTGCTTTGCATCAGCTGGGTTCTGGTCACTATAGACATTTAGGGAGTGAACCAACAGATGGAAAGCTTCTCTCTATCTTTTCTTCTGTGTTTAAAAAAGAAAATATACCTCTCAAATGAAAAATAAATAAATCGTAAAGAGATAGCAAGAATATCTGTTGAAAACCGCTGGATGGGTAGCCTGTGATGTCTATTCTAGATTTCCTCATTTACATGGCTTCCTGTCTGGACTTTCCCTTCAGCAGGCTCCACCTTTCCACACCTGCCTCCCCAAGGACCTTTCATTGTCTTCTGGCAGCTCAGAGCCCCTTGGAGTGTGGGCCATCATCATCAGGGACATTCATGTGCCTGCTGTGGTCCGACCATGAGTGTCCTATCCAAGTGGAACTCTTAACTTCCCAGGTAATGACACTGGACGTGGGGCTTTTGGGAGATGGTTACAGCAGGACACAGCCTTCCTTACTGAGATCAGCAGGGAGAGGTTTCTCACGTCTTCCCCTGTGTACGCACCCAGAGAAGGCAGCCTGTGTGAGCCAGAAGGTCAGCCCTCCCCACGTACCTAGTCTGCAAATGCTCTGATCTTGGCTTCCCCAGCCTCCAGAATGGTGAGAAGTAAGATTTACTGTCCATAAGCTACTCAGTTTGTGGTATTTTGCTATAGCAATTAAATAAACTGAGACACTATCCCCATCACGGTTATTGCCTCCTGGCCAGGCAGCAAGGGGGCAATGCCCGTAACAACTGGGCAAGTGCAGCCTGTCTCCCATACTATGGTCGGGTCAAGCCACACCGGCTGCTTCAGCGACAGGAAGAAGGTACCTTAGGAGGATGTGCACAGTGGCTGAAATATTGATCAGGATGGCCGTGGGCCCTGGAGCTGCAGGGCTGTAGGGCTGTAGGGCCAGGAGGATAAATTTCTCTCTTCCAGGTGGTCTGCTGTTTCCTTGTCTGACTTTTCCCTGGGATGGGGTGACTGTGTTTAGAAAATCAATCTTGACATTTCAATTCCAGAAAAGTCCTAGCTTTTCCAGATTCAGCTAGAGCCTATTTGTCTCCCAGACATACTCACCTCCACAGGTCAGTCTTCAGCAACCAGCATAACAAATGATCTGCTCTCGTTCACACTGAAGAATCCATGAGCCATCATGCTGGATAGTATGCAGTCATCCACAACCCCAAGGGAGCTTGCAGGGAACGTCTCCCACAGACCCAAGGCTCTGTTTTAGCTTTCACACCCCCATTTCCAATCCACAGGAGAGGCAAGTGAGTAGGTATTTTGTAATTGCTTATTTTTGCTGTATGTGTGTATATTCTGTGGATACTTTTTCTTTGCATTTTTTTTCTTTCTTTGGAGGAAGGGGAGATAGGACCGCTGCATTTTGGAAAGGAATTTCTGATGACTGAGAGGATATTTGTCTCCAGCAAATCTCTAGCTTAGAGTTTGCTGGGCACTATCTGAAAAGACTTGGATTTTAAGATGAATCACTGGAACCATAAAAAGAAGGAATAACGGTATATGTGCAAAGCAAATCTAAGAAAAGAGTTTTGCAATGGGCCAGCATCAAGCCCTGGTACAAGCAGGGAGTCCTCACACGGCTGTGGCTACCAGAGCCAGAAGTGTCCCAGCCTGCGTGAATCTTGTGTGGCCGCTCTCAGCAGGCAGGGATACCACTTAAAATCTAAGAGAGCCAAGTTCATGGACTCAGATTGTGGCTGCTGGGGTCATCGGTTACTATCTACTGTACCTATATGCCTAATTCCTTTCAAATGCACATACTTAATCTATAAGGAAAAGTATGTACCTATTAGGTTTCCAATGAGTGCTAGGGCTATAGAATCAGTAGAATATACTACAAGCTCCATAAGCTGTGGATTGTCAAAAAGACATAGAGTTTCAAGGGGGCGTGGGAGGGGGATCGGGAAATCGAGTGGAGGATGGAGTGTGAATGCTTGCGCGTGTTGACAGAGTGCGTGCCCAGGGGACAGGGAGGTGATACACGCAGAGACGGGGACTCCAACAAAGCAAAAGTACCAAATGCATTCACATTCTGCGACTGCTTTATTGCTTCCAGGGTTGGGGATGCTAAGTCAGGGCGCATGGCTGTGGAGGACTAGAGGGAAAGCTCACAAGCCACTCAACACAGCTCTTAAGATGAACAACAGAATTAAGACAGCAGTTGCATAGGATGCTACTCCCTGTGGTTGCGACAATGAGACCTTTAACAAACCTCCCAGACAAAACATCGGGGCACAGCACCCTGCTGCGACTTCTCTCCTGTCACTTACCCCCAAAGAACTGAAAACTGGCCGACACTCCCAGCGGGTCGTCTGACAAGGCCACCGGGATCATCATCAGAGAGTCCCTCCCCCTGTGGGTGTGCAGGCAGAAACCTCCCTGCCTCTTTGGATGCTAATGCTCAACACGGTGGGTTTGAGAACTGTGAAGCCGATGATGTGATCTGTAGGGCTAGAGAGATACAGACGGCCAGTGCCACAAGGTGGCTGAGAGTAAGGCAGGAACTAGATGACTAAGATCATGGCCAAGTGATTGTATTAGCTGCAATATCCGTTGCCCTCTGTCTTACATGTTTGACCTCTGTTCGGAGCCTCTACTGCTTCCTGCTGCTAATGAGTTCTAAGCTTTGCAGCTCCCGCGGCTTGAGTAGTGCTGGAATTCTCTTGCTTTAATGCCAGCTCCCACAGGGGGAGCAAAGACACCTCTTCCAGCAAGGGACTAGCTCCCTCCTCAGGGCCTCAGGCTTTGCCAGGAACCTTCTTGTTTTTCTCGTAGCTGATGCCCCCGATGCCCTCCAGTATATTCATGGGCAGAGGGAACACGATGGTGGAATTCTTCTCGGTGGCCACAGTGGTTAAGGTTTGTAGGTAGCGCAGCTGGAGGGCTATAGGCGACTCGGCCAGCACCATGGAGGCCGACTTCAGAGATTTGGAAGCATTCATCTCTCCTTCAGCTGCAAGGACCTACAAAGACACAAACATCACAGGCTGGGATGGGGGCTTGCTTTTGCTGGACCCGTGCCCCGACGTGGCAACAATTGTATCATCTACTTCTTTGGCAAGAATCAGCTTTTTACATGGTGAGGGAAACTCGAGATTACAGGAAGCAGGGAGAGAGATTTTACAAAGGATAAGTGTCTAGGTTTCATTTCCAATCACAAAGACTCCTTGGCCAGCCACCCTAGGAACATGCTTGAACCTCATTGGAGCAGCCCGACCTGCTGCATTAAGTTTTCAGAGATGCCTGAAATTGAAGGCCTCCAACTGGCTTGTTTGTGGCTTTTGCTTATCATAGGGGAGATTTCCCTTTGCTCTGGTGCCAGTGCAGCCCCATGCTGACAATGCCAGGATTGTTTCCGGGCTTCTCAGCTCTCTCTGGCAGGTAGCTCTGAGTGCCAGCCTGGTCACCCCCACCGAGCTCCACTCTCTTTCTCGTTCTCAGATAGCAAATGAACAACCCAGCTGGCACCCAGTTGCCCCATGGGTAATGCTTCCCTCCTCTGTATGAAAGTGATCCCCACCCATCGCTGCCAAGGGCCTGCTTGAGAGCTGCTGCAACTTTAGAAGACACACCAGCCAAGGGTGGCAGACAAAAGACTTCATCAACTCTCAGGTGAGATTCCAAAAAAGGCTACCGCAAGGGTCCTAATTGCTACATTTTTGATACTTCAGGAAATCAATCCTAGGGGACTTGGCAGCTACAGATGCAAGCATCAGGCACACGCTGGACCAGGGGGCACGTGCGGTTTGTAATCCTAACCTGAATTCTATTGCAATCTAGTAACATTTCACGGACTAGAACAACCATGCTCAAACACAGGCCCTGATGGCTACATACCCAACACTGGCTTTACACAAAGCTAGGATCTTGAAACAATCTGACACTCCGCTTCCTCAGCTCTGGAGTGAAGCCTGCGAGTTGGTGGGGGAGGCGGGGAGAGGCTGGTGTACTCTTGGCTTAGTTGTTCAGCATGCTGCTGAACATGCTCTTACCCGGCACCCTCCAAGTACATGAAGCTGCTAGTCACCTTTTGTTGGAAGGGACTTCTGTAAAAGCTAAATCTTTTTATGATTTCCAAAAAGCACTACTAAGGATTCCAAGGAGCTGGCAGTTTGAGCTATCTGCTCCGCAGGCTCTCATCCCACATCGAGTGCCTGGGTTCGAGTCCTGGCTGCTTCATGCTGTTGTGCATCTGCAAGCTAGCAAGGGGTGCCTTAAGTGGCTGGGTCCCTGTCAGCCCCTTGGGAGATCCCATTGTGGTATGCTGGGACCCTCACTTCATTCTGGTCCAGTCCTGGATGTTATGCACACGTGGGGAGCAAACCAGTGAACGGGAAACTTCTCTCTCTCTCAACTTGCTTTTCAGTTAAAGATGACTAACTACCCTTTACTAAATAGTTGCCAGAGTCTTGTTTTTGAGCTCCGTCCCTGTGTAGCCCGCACCATCAGCTCAGCTGTCCTCGCCGTGTGAGCCGGGTATGCTTACCCTGGCCCGGGCCTCCCGGGTGGCCTCTGCCTCCGCCGCCATGGACCTCTGCAACTGCACAGGAATCCGGACATCTTTGATCTCCACTCGGGCCACGCGGATCCCCCAGAGCTCAGTGGCATCATCCAGCAAGGTCTGGAAGGACAGGGACGGTGACGTGCGATTCTGACACCTTTATTCCATACTGCAGGATAAACCCTCGGCTCCTGCTGCTTTCAGAGTGATGGCATTCACACTGATGCGCTCTCTCAGACCTGGATTCTGCCTGTCACGTGCCACGATCAGTCACTGGGCCACGGTATACCCTCTCTGGTTCTCAGTTTCCCCATCGATGAAAGGTTTCTTTTCAGGACGGCACTGAGGCTTAGAGATAAGACCTCCAACTCTCAGGGCCTAACAATGATTCAATAGATAAGAATGTGGAGATGGTATTTGTCCCATAGCCAGTTTTAAACAAATAGCAAGGCGTGTTTTTTTTTTTTTTTTTGGTTTTTTTTTTTTTGTTTTTTTTTTGGTAGCAGACTCAGGCTGAGGTCAAAATGTAAAACCTTAAAATCCATCCACAGTAGACAACTTGGGAAGAATGTTAAAAAAAAAAAAAAAAGATGAGATCAGAGGGGCTAGCGTCTGGTGTAGCAGGCTAATCCTCTGCCTCTAGTGCTGGCATGCCATGGGGATACCTGTTTATGTCCCAACTGCTCCACTTCCCATCAGCTCCCTGCCTGTGGCCTTGGAAAGCAGTGGAGGATGGCCCCAACCCTTGAGACTCTGTACCCGCTTTGGGAGGCCCGGCTCCTGGCTTCAGACTGGCTTGGCTCCAGCCATTGCAGCCATGTGGGGAGAGTCGGCAGATGGAAGATCTCCCTCTCTCTGTCTATCCTCTCTGCAAAATCTGCCTTTGAAATAAAAATAAACACATCTTTTAGAAAAAGAAAGAAATGGTGCCATCAGAAGGGAAATGGCCCTCGAGGGAGGCATGAAGACCCCCACGGCCGGGTGATCCAGGGACCCCTCATCCTTCTGTGGTCCCTGTAGGACCAGGGAGCAGGACAAACCTCATAAGAACCCCGCAGCCGGACCACATCTGGGAAACGCTGGAGTTGACAAAGGCATCAGGCTCTTAAAAACCACAGGAGGAATTATCAGACAGAGTAGAAATTATCTCATTAAAGTCTCTGGACCTTTGTATAACTTTCAAGATGGGAGAAGATGCTGAGAAGAACAAAGTGGAATTTCCTCGCCCAGCTTACAGAAAGGAACATCAGTATCAAGGCATCACTGACTGAAACAGACATAGAAATGTGATTGTCTATGAACCGGGACGTGAAGCAATAAGGCTAATACCTGATACATCATCCTCGGTGTTCACACTGCTACGACTATTGACAGTATGGTAAGTCTGTGCTCAGCAGACGTATCATCTTCTGACTTTCAAACTGAAACGTAGGAATCAACATGTTCCCTGAGATGTGGGAACCCCTCTGCAGTGGCATAAAATAAACCTTGTTTCTAAGCTCTTCAGAAGGGGCTGCAACAGTCACTCAGTTTGGAATTCCAAAGAAGATGATAAAGGCTTCAATTCCACCTGACTCTTTTCCCGCCCAGATATTCAAATACGTACCTTGTAATGGTAGATAAATAAGTCAAAAGGCAAAGGTTCATCTGTGGAAAAGTGGTGTGTGTGTGTGGGAGAGAGAGAGAGAGAGGGAGGGAGGGAGAGAGAGAGATTGAGAGAGAGAGAGAACATATATGGGGGTGTTTGGGACCACTCGTTGGTAACCACTGATCCTGGGACTGAGCGAAAGCGCCAGCTCTTGGTTCTTGCTGTCCTTACCTGGATGCTGTGGGCGATCTCTTCCCGCCCTGATAGAATCTGGGACAAGGTCTGCGTGCCTAGGACGTTGCGCAGGGTGGTCTGGGCGAGCAGAAACGTGGCTTGGTGGACATCGTGGACATTAGCCACGGCCGACACGGCACTGTAGATCCTGTAATAGACGACCCCGTCCACCTGCGTCGTCACCGAGTCTCGGGTGAGGATCTGTGGAGCGAGGGCAGGGCCAAGTCTGAGCGAGCGATGGAGCGACCGCCAGCCGGCGAGCCCTCCTCCACGGGACTGCATGCGGACAACAACCTTCCCGGCTGAGGCGCAGCATCTTCCCAGCGCACATCAAAACGCCCGCACAGGCGTAATCTCTATCTACCCTGTTACTTCACCTTACAGGAGTCTTCGAACAAGCAGAAGCCCCTGGCTGGCCATAGTGAGAATAGGTACTTCAAGGCTCAGAAGGACAGTAGAACTTCACCTTGTTCTACTTCTAAACAGAGGTAGAACACTTGTTTCCCTGCTAAACTGTTAATGGCTTTTTTTTTTTTAATCAGACTTGACGGTGCAGTACTGCCTATGAAGGCTAGATGGCACCAGAGACCATTTTATAATCAAGTAGCAAGCACCTGATTTCACTTTACAATCTTTAATGACCAAGTACTTTGAAGGAAAAGTCAGGTGACTGACTGCACCTGCCATGGACTCAAACCTAGAACCATCCATAACGGAGCCAGAAAAGCCCTACTTTGGGTAATCACACATACCAAGCACTCCTCTCCCTGGGCCTGGCTGAATCTAAAGTGGGTGCTCTACAGTTTCTAATCAGGATACAGAGATGGCACTGCTGGTCGCTGATTGGATGTCCTGACCAGAAAGAAGGAAATTAACATCCACTCATCAGTGTTGACTTTCTGCCATCTCTCCTTTCCCTCCCACCTTCTAGGTCCCATTCAGATTTTCTTTTCCTCAGGATCACCTGGCTAACACAGGGTGACAGGATTAGAATTACTAGCTCAGTTCCTCTCGCCTACCACTCACTGGTTTGGTCATTCATTTGTAGTTCTACAGATGGAAATCTCTACCTGTGTGGGTCTGGTGCGGCCTCTGTCCCCATATCTGTCCTGCCTGGCCACATCCAAACACACATGCAGTCTAAGCAGGGGGAGTCTTGACTTTAGTGCCAGTGTGAGAAGGTGTGTTGAGGGCACCATTGGGGGCAGACGCTGTCTCCGGCCAGCTGCGCCTCAGCTGCTCTGTCAAAGACCCGGTCTCTCCTCCTCCGCCCCTGCTCACAGCTGCACTGTTCTCTCAGACTTTCATTTCAGTCTCTGGCTGTTCTGTCCTTGCACTTGACCTCCTTCTTATTTTGCAAAAACAAACTCCTGGTGTTTCAGAAACCTCCTGCGTCAATTCAAGGGCTTTTGTTTTGTTTTTTGTTTTGGGGGGAGGAGGGTGGTGAGGTAAGGAGAGCAGACTTCAGTTCATCCTCTGCCTTATATTTTATAAACCTTCTGTAAGATTTCAATTGTCAGTGTAAGAGGGAAGATAGATTTTATTTCTGATAAAAACACGAGGATGCTCAAACATATTCAAAAAAAAAAAGGAAAAACCTACAGATAAGATTTCAAAACGTGTTACATCAAAATAAACTTTCATTTCCATTTTGTTTTGTTTTGTTTTCTAGCTTTTTGGAGACTGTACCCAGCATTACCTCTTGTGGAGGAATGTTGCAAGTGACCGTTCGCAGATCAACCTTGACAAACACGTCTATGCAGGGCAGGACCAGGATCAAACCTACGAGGAAGAAAGGGCTTTTGAATTCCTCCTCTCCTGCACAGAGTGAGGGCCGGTGTCTCCCTGGGTGTTTGGTCCACACGCCCGTGGGCTGCCTGCACACCTCCTTCCCAGCACCAGCATTACCTGCACAAATGGCTTTGAGGGAAATGACTTCCTCCTCTTGGGCAGCAACTAGAGAAAACTAGTTAGCTGACAACTAAGGCGTTTTATCAAGAAGCTAAAGACTCTTGCTATGTTAAACTTTTTTATAAACAAATGCTTCCATCCACGTGTTAACTGACATCATTAGAGACCATGTTTGTCCATTCATTTCTCTCTCTGAAAAAATGCTTTTCAAAGATTCGGGTAATAGACTGTTTGGCCTTGAATTCCCGTGCCCGGCAGCATTCTGAGTCACCTTCCGTAATACTAAAGGAATAGCAGCTGGAATATTCCCAGGGTCCTAGACTCCCTGAAGCCAGGGTATTCCAGGACTAACAGTTTCTCAATAGCCACATTCTAGTTTCAGAACAAGCAGCATTCCTGAGTTAGGAAGCCTTGGAGTTGGGCCAGCTGGAGAAGGATGGGCACAGGAAACCTCATCCTTGGGTCCTTAACATTATCCCAGAGAATGTTCCTTCTTTATTGTAAAATGTAGACAGACGCCAGGGGCTGGTGCTGTGGCATATAAATTAATCCTGTGCCTGAGGGGCCAGCACTGCATTGGAGCACCAGTTCGAGTTCCGGGTGCTCCACTTCCGATCCAGCTTCCTGCTCGTGGCCTGGGAGAGCACAGAGGATGTGCTTGAACTCCAGTACCCACAGGGGAGACCTGCAAGAAGCTCCAGGCTCCTGGCTCTAGATCAGCCCTGTTCAGACCATGGCAGCACGTAAAAGAGTTCTGTGTTTTTCTTTCTCTCTCTGTCAATCTGCCTTTCAAATAATAGTAAATAAATCTTTAAAAAAAAGAAAGTTGCATGCTGGCAAGTTGGGAACACTAATCCATTTCCATTTCCAGGATTATTGCTCAGATTTTCTTCCTTTTTTTTTTTTTTAATAAACTTTTTGTTTACATTTTCAGTATGAATTACAGCTGAGCACACGTTCATGCCAGCCTGGGAGTAAGGCGCGGGACAGGCTCACCGGGCATGAACACTGTGAACGCCAGACACTCATTTAGGATGCAGGGTGGCCCAGCCAACAACTGATTCAGGGCCTCTGGGATGTTGCCAGGGAGATCATGACCCCCCGAGACCGCAGGGTCGGGGTGAGGCAGGGCCCCTTCCGTGGGCCCCAACACTCAGACCTCGCCAATCACCCTCAAGGTGACTCTATTTCTAACGAGATAGATTTTGGTTTGTGTGTCATGGAACAGGCTGATCATTCGGGCAGAAGCAGCTGCTTTCTTTGGGTCTCTAAACTTCTCTGAGACTTGTGGTCAGAACTACCGCCCACTTCACTTTGTTCCTCAGTTCTCCGTCATGGGTTAAGAGCACAGCCCTTGGAAACAGAAACATCAGTCTCACCTCAGCTTTGCAGGGTCACATAATCAGGAACCCTTGCCTAACTCTCCTGAGTTCTGGTTTCCTAATCAATATAAGATGACAGTGAAAACTAAAACGTGATCCAATGTGACAGTGAAATAGCTTACCTTACAATACACCGGGCTAGGTGTATGTTTGGTGCTCTTGTGATTAACACTTTTGCTGTTGAACAGCAGTTTACAGCTTAAAGAGTGCAGAGGTTCTCCATTAGCACTTTGGCTTGCTTCCCTCAGTCGCTGCGATCTCTCGAGCTAACATGTCCACTCTAGAGACACGGATGACGAGAGCAGTTGTCATCCTGGGACGTTTCCTAGTGAGGTCTCCTGGGAAAGCCCGTGGAAGAGAGATGCCTTTTTCTCTAGAGTGTTCCCAGTTACGACTCCTCTGCCTCGCTCAGATCCACTTTTATTTCAGCTTACGGGCTTAGGCCCATCAGATGGAGCATGTTCTGTGATCACTCAGCAGGTGACCCCAACACGTCTGGTTTGAGAAATTCAAGGACATCCACAAGAAGGAATTCGTGTCCTCTTTCTCTTAGGTCCTTCACAAAACCCAGAGGGAAGGCGACTCTACTTGCAATGTTTAAGCTTCCTCCACCGACTGCTTGTGGAATGTCACAGGTTTTCAGGAACGGGCACCCAAGTGCCTACCACGCACTCAGAGCCAAACGCAAGGCACTCAGAGTATTGCCACAGATAACACATACCGGGAGAAAGAGCAATTTTACTCCAACTATAAAAACGAGCCAAAAATGTGTTGCCAGACAGCCATAGCGGATAACCATTGTTTCGTGGCTGCCTTCTAAGATTATGGGCATTAAAAATCCCTAATAATTTAGTTTCAATTTATTTGAAAAGCAGAAAGAGGAAGAGACAGTGACAGTGAGAGATCATCCAGCTGCTGGTTTTCTCCCCATATGTCTACAACAGCCAGACCTGAGCCAGGCTGAACCCAGGAGCTAGGACCTCGTTCTGAGCCTCCCACATGAGTGGCAGGGACCAAGCCACTTGAGCCATTACCTGCTGCCTCCCGGGCTGCAGGTCACTAAGCTGCCACCTAGAATGTTGGCATCCCCTATGGGCATCCCCTATGGGCAATTGTTCATGGCTTGGCTACTCTGCTTTATACCCAGTTCCCTGCTAATGGCCTGGGGAAAGCAGCAGAGGATGGCTCAAGGACTTGGGCCATGGTACCCACAGGGGAGACCCAAATGGGGCTCCTGGCTCCCAGCTTCGCCTGGCCCAGTCATGACTATTACAGCCATCTGGGGAGTGAGCCAGCAGGTGGAAGATCTCTATCTCTCTCTGTCTTCCCTTCCCTCTCCTCTGTAACTCTTTCAAATAAATAAGTAAGTACATAATTTTTATTTAAAAAAAAGTGAAAGCTTGAAGTTGTGAGTAAAGCTGAGATTGAAATCCAGGCCCTTCAATATAATATGTAATTGTCCCAAGCAGCATACTTTGCTTTAGAAAGATTTATTTATTTGGCCTGAAACAATAGCCTAGTGGTTGAGTCCTCACCTTGAATCCACTGGGATCCCATATGGGCAGAGGTTCCTGTTCCTGCCACTCTACTTCCCATCCAGCTCCCTCTTTGTGCCCTGGGTAAGCAGCAGAGGACAGCCCCAAACCTTGGAATCATGAACTTGCACAGGAAACCTAAAGAAGGCTCCTGGCTCCTGGCTTCAGATTGGCTCAGCCCCAGCCGTTGCAGCCACTTGGGGAATGAACCAGAGGTAGAGGATCATTCTCTCTGTATCTCCTTCTTTCTGTATAAATGCTTTTTTTTAATAATAAAAAAAGTAAAATAAATGTTGAATGGTTTATTTATTTATAAAAGCCAGAGTCTCAGAGAAGGAAAGACAGAGTGGAAGATTTTCCAACTACTGCTTCATTCCTAAAATTGCCTCAGGAGTCAGCTGAGCCGAGGCCAGGAGCCAGCAGCTCCTTCTGTGTCTTCCGCAAGGGTGCAGGGGACCAAGAACTTGAGCCTCCCTCCTCTGCTGTGCCAGGCCCTTAGGAGGGAACTGGATCAGAAGTGGAGCAGCTGGGATCCAAACCAGCATCCATATGGAATGTTACTACACCATGGTTAGCACCAGCCGCCTAAGCGGCAAGGTCCTTGCTGTGCCGAATGCGCACTCCTAAGATGATGTTTCATATCCTTTGCTTTCGAGAAGAGTATTAGCTTTTGTGGCACTTTTTCTAACTCAAAACAAATCTTGCAGTTTCATATGGCTTGGCTAAATATACACTATGAAGACTTAGGAGTGTTAAATCAGTATCTCACCATTTCGATATCAACATCCCCAATGTTGGCCAAGGAAAAAAAGCTTCATCCTTTTATGACATGACTAGTTCAGAATGTTTTTTTTTTTCCTTTGCAAGGTTGAAGACAGAAGGAAACATGCAACATTAGGTGTTGCAATGCCTAAAATTTCAATTTCGCCTCCACCTATTCCAAGAAGACAACTGGATAGAAAGACGATGGGGAACCTGCTGGTGTGAAATGAAAACCAGCTATAACCCTGTGAGAGAGCGGCAGGAACTCAGAGCAAAGGTCCTGAAGCAGTTGAAAAAGAAATGCATGGATGCAGCAACTCCCTAGTCCTCAAGCTTTGACAGCAGATCAAAGGGGTGCTTCTTCCAGTGTTTAGTAGCCAGCCAGAAGAAAACATTGTCTACTTTGCCTACTGATTGGACCCCCCTTGCATGCAAGCACGTAACAGCATCCTGTGGCTGGCCCCCCTTCCTTATGTCTACGTGACTGTCAGTCTGTAACAGTCTGTTACTAAACCTTGACTATTGACCACCGTGTGTGATTATCAGCTCCACGCATCAACTCCCTCGCTGCAAGACAGCAATCTATAAAACTAATCTTGGATAAATCAGCAAACCTAAGCTAGCTTCAGGTTCCTTATTTTCAGGACCAGTGTCTCTCTGCACAGGGAGTTGGGAGCTGTCTCCTCGCAGGTTTGTGGTTTGGAGGGTTACCAGTCAGATGGAGCCAGACTTGATGACGTCACGACACCGAGAAGCCATCGAGAAGCTGAAGTACTCTCCAGTTGTCTGAGCTGAGCTACAAGCGTTTGCCCTTCACTGTACTCCATAACCTCCTGCAAGTGTCAGCAGCTGAGTTGATACTGGGCTGCAAGTCTGGAAACAAAACCCGCACCCCAGGACCACTCGGCATTGCTGTGGTGCTGCCCATTAAAGATGGTTGTTTCCTGCCCCATCTCTCAACTGACTTAATTGCCATAGGAAGAAATTGTCTTTTGCTGGTGTCTTAGCCCTTTTCAAAAACAATGTCAGCAACCCGAATACTGCACCTGCGGTTTTCGGTGGTTTACCCTGGCCATTTCCCATTTCCCTTCATACTTGTGAAGTTCTCTTAGCGACCCTGTAGAAGCGACATCCGAACAATCTAACCAGAGTCACTCTTCCTCGGATCTCTCCGAGAGACAGAGCGAGAAAGTGGGTTCAGATTTTCAAAGTCTCAAACCAGAGGCCACACCCACGAAGTGTGCAACAGGTCCAGAGCTCCAGCCTCCGGTTTTTCTTTGCTTCTCCAGAGGTACACACCACCGAGAAAGATAAGGGGGACGCGGGAAAGGAGTAATAGGAGGAGAGGGGCCCAAGGTCATGGCCAGGGCAGTCATGGTGTCATACCTGGCCCTTTGGCTTTGTCAGCTTGGATGCGTCCCAGGCGGAACACCACAGCGCGTTCGTATTCCTTGACAATCTAAGAGATGAAGGGAGAGCATTGGATATGGTACTTGATCAGCTCGTTGGGAGAGCGCTGTTGACCTTACAGGGCATTACCTTCAAGCACATCCAGATGGAGATGGGGAAGGTGATGAGCATCAACAGGAAAGAAAGCGTCCAGAGAATCCAGCCACACACCCCGAGCCGTTTACTGCTGATGCCTAGAGAAAGAGAGGGCAGCAAGCCTGCAGTCAGTGCGATTCCTAGAAAAACCGCTAAGGGGTGTGTGCCTGAGCAACCATGTGGATAGCTCCAAGCCCGCTGGGACTGAGACGGAAGCTTTCACCCAGTCTGACCCTGACTGCTGTTACACACACACACACACGCACACTCAGGCAGGCTTTCAGGAATTTAAATTAACCCGTCCCTTCCAAGAAAATCTCACTGCAATCAATAGCAATAATAATTACTGCATTTACATAGAGCTATATGGTTTAATATTCTCAAAACACATCAGTGTTTCTCAAATGTGATCCATGCACCAGCAGCACCAGAATCCTCAGCTTCCAGTCCTTGGAAATTCTTCAAGTAAAACGCTAAGCCACCTCCGCGCAGGCAGGTCGATGGGTAGGCAGGCAGGTGCAATTCTCCCCAGAGGGAAGCGATGTGGCAGATTGCAACTGCCTTAAATGATATACTTTGTGTCATATCAATTACTTAATTTTTTGAGTCTCAAGTTTTTTTTTTCACAAAACATACAAATCTGATGAACCATTTTGTTTTGGAATTCTTCATAAGTGTTTTACCTCTTTGGTAATTCTTTCTCTTGGCTCTTAGTTGGCAACAACCATTTCCCTCAATCCCACATTCTTTACATGAACACTAGAACTGTTTCTATTGACCATGCCTCCAACTAGGAAAAGCTACCTACACCCATCGTCTCAGCATCTCAGCTAATGCCCTGATCTCCCCTGCCCCAAGGCTCAGGTTAGAGACAAGGGTCATCACAGCTTCCTCCCCATCCAACTACAAAACTCACAAAGTCTAGCAGAAGCTGTCTCAATTCCCATCCCATTGTACTGCCATTCCTTTGGGATCCAAGTCATATTTGTGGTTGTTACAAAAGTTGTAGTTTTTTACTCTGACAAAGTGGGTTTTTTGTTTACCAATATGACATTAATTCCTGATAGTAAATGTGCTAAGTCAAAGGGATTCGTATTTACTGTTTTGATGACAAATGCCCTTCCAAAAGTGTGTACCAACCTCCCAGGAATGGTTTAAACATATGCCTGGCTTTACATGTCCTGTCCTTATTTCAGTAATTTCAATGACTACATTCTACTAGGTGGAACTACCAAACTTTTAGAAAGCTTTCATGTACAGATATTCTTCTCTTAGTTTAAACACACGTGGAGAGAGATGGTGGGAACTAAGGCGTGGCAGTGTACCAAGGTTGAATTCCAAAGGCCATCTTCCACATTGAGACACATCAGACAATTCTGGTAGAAGATCAAAAGAGATTGCACATTCCTATAGGAATTTTTTTATTTCAATTATATTATATACCTATAATATGTTTACGTATCATATGTTATGTATTACTAACACATCCACACATACATATTCTCATTTAAAGAGCCCAACTCCAGCCATCCCGCCCTCTTCTTTATTTTGCTCTCACTTAGAATAGTTTCCATGGTTATTATCTGGTGTGCATAGATTCATTCCTGTGCATTTACACACAGGAAGATACCTGGCTCTGATGTGTAATGCTTGTTCTTTGATAAATAGCATCACACAGTGCCTGAATTTCACATAACTTGGAGGCATTCCTATGTCCTGAAATACTTATCTACCTTAATCTTCTGCATTGTTGCACGTCCCTTTATTTCAAACTTGAGCCTCGGGATATTGCGTCTGAAACCAAACCACTACAATGTAAATCAGGAGAGAGCCTCTTTTCTGTCCCCCAAAATGTTCCTGCCTTTTCGCTGTGAAAAGGAATTCACACACGTAAGGAAGTGATAGGCCTGGTCACACCAGGATCCATTCAGCAGACAAGGAGTCGTTTCCTTCTGCAATATGTGAGAACTGTATGTATTTTTATTGGGAAGGGAGATTTCCAGAGGTAAAGAGACAGAGAGAAAGTTCTTCCATCTGTTGGGTGACTCCCCAAGTGGCTGCAAAGACCAGAGCTGAGCTGATCTGAAGCCAGGAATAAGGAGAATCTTCTGGGTCTCCCACGCAGTTGCAGGGTCCCAGGGCATAGGGCCATCCTCTACCGCTAGCTCAAGCCAGGAATTTGAACATGAGCTGATCACTCACTTCACAGAACCAACTTCAACCTGTAAGAACCTTCACCTCTAACTCCTCAGGAAGCCCAGGAATGAAGCAAGAGCTTCCCATCCCCTTGCTCTGCACTTTGCAATGAACACCTGCTTTCTTCCACTGCTCTAACAGCAAGGACTGGCCTTCTGCACACTGGGCAAACAGACCCAGTGTATGGATCCTACAGCAATGCCTGCAGCTGGTTGGAGTATTGTTCAGCAGTGGCTCACTCTCCTACTGACTGACATTAAGTTTTGCTTTGAAAAATAACACTGCAATAGCAGTGCCTCATGGGACCAATACACTTTTTCACTGATTCTTCATTATATGAATTGTACTTTTTCATTTATCTGAAAGGTGGACCAACAAACAGAGAAGGCAGAAAGAGAGAGATTAATCTTCCATCTGTTGGTTCACTCCCCGAATGGCCACAGGTCACATCAACGACCTGGTTAAAACCAGAAGCCAGGGACCCCCAATGAAGTCTCTCACATGAGAGGCGTGGTTCATGTACTTGGGCCACATCCCACTGCCTTCCCAGACACATGGGCGGGAAGCTGATCAAAAGCTTGCCCAGGCAGGACTCCAACTGGCACTCTGATATCAGATGTCATAGCTGCAGATAGAAGCTTCACGTGCTGTGCTGACACCTTCCATTAATCTTGATGAAAGTGCTAGGGGCAGCAAAGTCTGTCCCCTTGGGTATCACTGTAATGGCTGGTGCCGATAAATCTGAAGGTGCTCTGGAGCTCTGTTGCAGCAATGCAGCACACACAGACAGCTGGAAGAGATACATCCATACTCAGTGTCCAAATCAAACCCTAAAGATCCCCAAAGTAGACTCCTAACACCAGGAGCATGAACAAGTGCTCGTCTCACAGAGAAAATCGCCTTGACCTGCAGGCACCCTCTCAAGCCCCAACAAGCCCTTGCATCATTACACATGTGCTTCAGGAAAGGCTCGATTAGGTGTTAAACAGGCTGAGATGGAAAAAGAAAATGAGACATGATTAAGTTTCCAAGCAATACACCTGAGTATTAGAGCCACCCAAGCCACTGCTTCTGTGAGAATTGGTGGAGCCAAGGGGTGTCATTAGCTGGTTAATGTGGGTGTCTGTGAGCACTGCTCCCTGCTTCCCTGCAGTTGCCCCAGCTCCGCCTGGGCAGCAGGCACAACTTGGGAGGCAGCAAGCAGTGGCGGTGGCCACAGGGCAAGGGCTGCTTTGGTAGCTTCCTGAGGTGTAAATTCTTCAAGTAGCCTTTCTTCTCCCTTAAAAGCTCTTGCTCTGTCCCCATCACAGCCAGCTTAAAGTAGGATGCCATGCCAAGAATTAGACTTGAATGTCAGATTACAAAGTAACTTTAAAAATACCCCTTCCTGCCCTGAATTTAGCCACACAAGGCTCCAGACAGAGCCTTCCCTTGAAGTTGAAAGGATGATGAAAGAAAAAAAGGTGGCACCACCTCTTTGCTAGCCACTAGGTTCCAGCAGGTATACTGTCTGTGAACAACTGTGACCTAACCATAAAACCACTGTCACATGCTTATGTCCTGGTGCACAAATGGATTTCCACCCTCTAAAAATTGCCCTTGATTTCTTTCATTTATTTAACAAATATTTTATCAGAAATGATGTGGCACTTGTCATCAAAGGTTCAAGTGTAGGAGAGGAAAGACACCGTGGAGGCAGAAGGAGTAATGGAGTCAGCACTCCAGATGCATTTTTCCAGGATGTCTACAGCTGGTGAACTGATTGGCAGCTATGTCCAGTGTACGGCTGTGATAAAGAACACCACACTGATAACACCATCCTTTCCATCTGCAAAGCCAGAACCATGACTGGAAACCCAGAGGTGCTGACACGAGGGAGAACTATAGGTGTACTGGAAGAGCTTTGCAGGTAAGCAAAGCCAACCATTCACTTCGCAGAGGCGCAACTTGTGAGTTCCTCCTGTCATCATCCCCTTGCTCTCCCTTTCAGGAAGGATGCAAATTCCAGAAGCTGACGTTCACATTGACCTTTACTGATTTATACAGTCATGTAAAGCTTATTTCCAACTGTACAGGCGCGCCCTAGGGCTTTGTTCCTGGTGTGTGGATTCCCTTCGTACCTCTGGAGAGTTCAACACCCTCTAGGATGGCAAATGCTCCAGGCAATACTGGTGAAGTGTGGGAGAACAGGGAGTGGGGAAGAATCACTGGCATTAGAAGCGGAAATGAAGCACAGCAAATAAAGCAGGCTAGATGAGTTGGCTGCCAATAGTGTTGTTGACTTGGTCATCAGTATTTACATATTAGATCAATCCACAAATAATATTTGACCACAGTTTTGTGTTACCACAATCAGTTCTGTCCTTTCTTTCTTAGCAGATACAACTGTTTAGGTATTCGGAGCTTATTTTCAGATGTCAAGGAGGATTGAGACCCGTCACAGCCAGGGAAGTGGAAGTTACAGCTACAGTGAGACACTAATACATTGCTACCCAGTGTATCAAACATTACAGAAAATGCTGCCACATTCGAGCCAGGTTGTGACACATCTGTAGCTCTCAGGAATGCTGCTGGGAGAGCCAACTGAATTTGAGAGTTCACCAGAACTCCTTGGATGCATCTACACATACTCTAGGACTCCACATTCAACTTCAAAGTAGAATACATGAGATAAATGAGTGTTAAGAACACTGGAAAAACATCTTCAAGAATAGTCAGTACATATAAAACTGTATCACATAATACAATGTTAATAACAATATAAAAAAAAGAATAGTCAGTACAACTCTACTCATGAAAGGCAAAAGAAGGAGAGTCATCTGGAGTTAACAGCAGAATGGATAAATAGGTCTGTGGATAGATTTTTAAAACATATATTTATTTATTTTCATTTTATTTAAAAAGGAGACAGAGAGGGGAAGAGAGAGAGAGAGAGTGCGCGCTATATCTGCTAGTTGACTCCCCCACATGCCTACAACGGTCAGGATCCTAGAACACCATCCAAATCTCCCAGACGGATGGCGAGGACCCTCATCTGTGTGGCCTCTCGGAGCGCATTAACAGGAGCTGGATTGTGGCTGGACGCCTAATAGTTCTCTAACCAGGAACCTCCGTACGCTATGCCAGCATCCCAGCTAAAGCAGCACTTGCTGGGGCTGGCATTGTGGCGCGTCCAGCATCACACACCAGAGTGCTGTGCTAGAAACCCAGATGGAGTTTCAGGCTCCTGGCTTTGGCCTAGCAGAGCCTTGGCAACTGTGACTTCCTGGGGAGTGAGCCAGTGGGACACACGATCTCTCTCTCTTCCTCTCTCTCTCCCTCTTTGCCTCCCTCCTTCCTTCCCTCTGTGTGTGTGTGTGTGTGTGTGTGTGCGCGTCCCCAGCTCTTTGTAACACTATATTTCAAATAAATACCTTAAAAAAAAATAAAGATTTCTCTCTCCCCAAATCCCCCACACTTTTAATCTGTGTCTGAAATAACACCCTGGCAATGAGAAGCGCTGATGCTCTCCCCTTAAGATTGACGCCCAAACATTCTCATGATGGCGCTAGAGACAATAGTGACTAATGAGAATGATCCTGAAAGAACAGCAGCGAAGGGTTAGCTAAGCCAACCATGATAAAACCATACAATATCACAGAACACAAGGCTTTCAGAAGTTCACAAAATCAGGAAAAAATTATAGAACAGTGTTACGAGAAAAAGGAATATGACAAAATGTATAGATGACAGGAAATTTTGGGAAGAAAATTAACCAAAACATTAACAGCAGTTATTCCTGAGTGGTGGGAGTGCTAAGTGATTTGTTATAATTATGAGTATGTTTAATTCTGATTTGCTTATAATCTTAAAAACTAAAGTTGGAAAAATCAAGTCAAAGTGTTTAAAAGTTATTTGTGCTTCCAGAGCAGAAAAAAAAAAAAAAAAACCAAAACCCAACAACCCAGATGTTTCTCGGGGGGCAGAAATAATAGAAGGGTTGTGGGATAGAGACACGCAGCTTACCAAGGCTTGGGGATGAGGCTCTACAATTCTCTGTTTGTGTATATACTTCCACTATGTGGAAACATGGTCAGAAAAACACAGGGCTTTGAAGACCAAACGTAAAATCTACAATAATCCCATAGGGGCTCAGCATTACCTATTCATCACCTGTCATTCATCTTTCTACCTGTCTTTTCCCCCTGAAATATACATAGTTTTTGCCTAGGAACGCTTTCCTAGAAATCGTGAAACTGTTCAAAAGCAAACCTGTGCTTCTCAAAATGTTTCCTGGGTCTGGTAGCTTCACCAGAACCTGGGTGCTTGGTTGGCTGCAAGATCTCATGCCCAACTGATACTGAAATGGCCAGAATTTCTGGGTTTTAGAACCAAGAATCTGTATTTCTAGGAAGCTTCGCAGGAAGAGTCTTTCACTGGTTGATGGTTAGAATATCAAGCACATAAGTAATCTAGATCCCAATGAACTTCAACTTCTTATGAAAAAGAATGGGTCTTGGGAGCAGGTCAGAAGTCACTAAGCAGTGATGTGCTGGTACAAGTTTAAGAACAGCGAGCCTTCTCTGACAATAGCATTTCCTGGTGAAAATCCCCCACTGTCAGCTGAATCTGGTCCATCTGAGGGACTAAAGAACTTGGAGTTAGGCAGAGACACACAGGGGTTTACAAAGTTGACACATGCCAGTTACACAGGACCAATTGCATGAGGCATGTGTTAGGGGTAATGACAAGAACTGGGTCTTCCATTCAGTTCCCTTGCCATTCATGATAGAAATACATGCACTGCTTAAATGACCAGTAATGTAGTCTGGCTAATGTATCTAAGTTGCAGAAGGACAAGGGCAAGCTTTTCCTACAGATCTCAAGGAATGGTCAGTTTTGCACTTCTTGGAATCTGCCGAACACACAGGGAAGCACAAGTTCAAAATATTAACCCTCGCTATTTGTTCTGCAATAGTTTTCCATCATATTAAACAAGCAAACAAACAAAAGCAAGAAAAATCGTGAATACTTATAAATGTCTCTTTGAGTACAATTTCAATCCTGACTTCCACCTAACTGATGCCTGCTAAGAGGGAAGTTAACAGGTGTCCACCAAGCTAAACGACAAAGGGTCAGCTCGGAAGAGAACCCCACCCCAGCCCACCTGCTTGCACTTCCAAGGGGCACTTACTTCCTGAAGCCTGGCAGTGTCTCTGTGCCTACTTCAAGAAAAAAGCTGCTTCTTCAATTCAGGCAAAAGTCTTCAAAAGTATACTGTTGATTACAAAAATTAATAGTAAACATGCCCTCCATTTCTAGCTTTTCTGGGATGTCTTCGGCTACATAACAAATGCAGCAGGATCGGTTCTCTCTCTCTCTCTCTCTCTTTCACACACACACACACACACACACACACACACACACACACACACCATTATCACTTTGGGGACCTTCATGAAGATTTTTTTTTTAATTCTTCAAGACTTTGCTTTCTCCTTTGTATAAGAATTACTATAAGATTTTAAAAGACAATGCAAGCTTTTTAATGCATAAAGGTCCTAATGTTAATCCACGTTCTTAGGATGTATGTTTTTCTCTCAGCTTCATTGTTCAACTATGATACAGCTAAAGGCAAGATTTCTTTTGAATGATATCATCATCAGATGACACATGAGGAGAAACAAAAGCCACTCTCTTCGCATAACTGCCGATTCAATTTAAAAGATACAAAAGTCATCACAAAGCACAAATCCTATCAGAAACCAAAGAAAAAGAGAAAATGCTATGCAAGGAACAATAAAACCAGCCTAAGTGATGAACCCAAGCTGAGTCTGAAGCTAAACGAAACTGAAGCCAGTCTCAGCAAAGTGAGCTCCTGCTTTCTCTCTGTGTATAATGTCACAACTCCTGTCACGTGTTGAAGGCAAGCTGAGCCACGAGAAAGAAACTTACCCACTAAATTCTCTTTATCCTGCTTCTCAGGCGAAGACACGCCAGAATCCATCTCATTCTTCAGATTTTACACTGGGCAGATATGGATGAGTGAGAAGCCAGGTCTGGGGCCCAGGCGACAACCTAGGTATGCCTGGACTGGAGGTGAGGAGTCAGACTCCCGGAGAGGAGTAGCACAAACTCCTTCTCTGTCATCAGCACCCCAAGGAGAAGTTGCCCTGGTGAAGGGAGCCTGACAACATAAACAAAAGCCATTTCTTTCAGGAACTCAGCCTGCTTATATTTGTAGAGAGAATTAAGAAGAATCCGAGCTTCTGGGGGTGTTATTTCCAGTAGAATGTCACAGTGTGCATGTCTGTATCATTTCATTTAGAAAACGCTTCTTCCCACCTGCTGTCATTTGTTCTCCGCAGTGAATTGCCCAACATAAAGGGCGTCTTCTGTGGGTAGCAAGTGAGGAAAGTTAATGCAATTCCTTCTGCAAACTGCAGTGACTGAGGTTTTGAAACATGAATCTGATTATGTGGCCATCTTGCTTAAAACAGTCCAAGATTCCACCAACTGTTGGCATGTGGAAGACTAAATACCCAAGTGTCTTTGCATGATGTTGCTGGACTCTGTACCTGCCATTCCAGCCTCATTCACCTGACAGCCTTCTTATGCATATTTTCAGTTCCTGCAAAGCTGTGTCTTCTTGCCCCCAGGGCCTTTGCACAAGTTAGCATAGGCACAGTTATTTGTTTTGTGCCCATTTCTGTTGGGGTCTGTGCAGTAGATGTGGGGGACACGAAGGCGTGAAGAGTATTGTTCCATTGCAGGCAGGGCCACAAGGAACTTCCTGCTGTTTGGCAGGGCCCACCAGGCGATCGTCTCTACAACCACCTGAATGCAGCTCCACCTTCTTTTGCATGGACACCGGACCACCCTGAGGAAGAAGTTTAATCCATCCAGGCATTGTTTGCTACTGTGAGGTTGGCCTCTCACTCAATGCGAGCTTGGAGGTTAATGTCAATAGTGATGTCTTGCAAAAGGGCCTTCTATTATTCCTACTGTCTTGGCCATCCCCATTGACGTTATGCTAATCAAGGGACCTAAATTTAGGCTTTCATTCTTTCCTCATTCTTTAGATTCCCCTTTTCTTTGAGATACAAGACTGAGTTGTTGTAGGATAAGAATTGTAGCAGGAACTTCTATTGTTTTTAGGTAAAACAAATGGCAGAATTATCCTTAGAAACACCCACTTGACCATGACGTAAAAATCTGGGCCAGAGTTTGACTGGTTCTGTATAAATAAAGCGGACAGCTTTCTCGCATTGTCCATTATAAGATCATGAAACCCTAGTGGCCCGTCTTTCTTTCCTCTTTGCGCCTCATCCACGTACCCTTCGCGAGTTCCGAACTCAGCTGGAGCTGGACACAGGCACATTTCCTCCCTCTAGTGAAGGAATTGGCAAGCATGGCGGGCAACTTCAGTCCACCACCTGTTTTATTTTGTTAGATTCAACCAAGCGCTGCTGGTTTACAGCCATGCCTTTTTTAGAATTAGCTAAGCGCATATTTGCACTACAACTGCAAAGGGGAGTACTTGTGACAGACTCCATAACTCGGGAAGCTTATAGCGTTTACTATTTCCCCTTTTGCAGAAAGCCTTGCTGACCCTACCTTACACTGTAGGTTTCCGTCAGGGAAATGACTGAGTGTGGTACTGTTCCATCTGCAGCATTTTTCACAGCACAAGCCAAAGTAGATTTTCAACAGATACCTGTCAGATCAATGACCAAATGATGTGTCAATGACATCAGCTGATGAAGTTCTTTCTCAAATTTCTTGTCCCAAGCAAATCTGAGCCCACTACAATAATGCCAACATTAATTTTTCTGGTGTTCTTCCTTCTTCTATCAAAATCCCAGTAATATTTTTTCTTCGTATGGAAACTAAACAATACAGAATGAACAGTTTTCTCCACGGTTATCTTCAGCCTCCTGATTTTTCTTCTCTCAATCATCTAATTATTTTCTTTTTGGCAACTACATCTTTAAAAATTTACTAGGTTGGGATGAGCATTTGGCCTAGGAGGTTAGGACACCCAAGTCCCACATTGGAGTACCCGTGTCTGATGACCAGGCTCTGGCTTCTGACCCTTACATCCTGCTCACGAGGACCCTGGGACTCAGTGAACAGATTCCTGCCACCCCGTCATGGCCTGTGGATTGAGTTCTGTCCTCGTCATTTAGGACCCTAGCAATGATGGGCATTTGGGAAGGGAAGTAGCAAAGCTACCCATGTCTACCTCTGTTGCTCTCTAACCCTCATATAAACCAGTAGATAACAAAATTTCTGTTATAGATAAAAAGAAATAATATTTCTTAGAAAAAAATAAAAGCTCCCAGCTTTTGGGTTACTTTTATCAAATACTTGATAATCTTAATTGCCTATTTCACAAACTTAAATTGTTATAATGAGCATAGCAGCTATGTACACTTTGTAATTACAGGGATTCAGTGGAAAAGCAGCAGGGGACTAGAAACACAGAGGAAACATGCGCCTGCTTGCATGTACAGCTGGTCTGCTCGGCAGGGCCTTGCTCTGTTTTCCTTAGCCTCTCTTGCTTGTATACGGTTAAAAATGGAAATGGTGCCACGTGCACAGGATGCAAGAAAGTGGACTACCAAACTCCGTTGTTTGTAATTTTCCTAGTGCTAATAATAAAAGCACTCAGGGGCCCAGCAGCGTGGCCTAGCGGCTTAAGTCCTCACCTTGAACACGCCCCGGGATCCCATATGGGCGCCCAGCAGCCCCACTTCCCATCCAGCTCCCTGCTTGTGGCCTGGGAAAGCAGTCGAGGATGGCCCAAAGCTTTGGGGCCCTGCACCCGTGTGGGAGACCCAGAAGAAGTTCCTGGATCCTGGCTTCGGATCGGCATAGCATCGACCGTTGTGCTCACTTAGGGAGTGAATCATCGGACAGAAGATCTTCCTCTCTGTCTCTCCCCTCTGTATATTTGGCTTTCCAATAAATAAATAAATCTTTAAAAAAAAATAATAAAAGCACTCAGAACGACTGGCTTTAATGTTAGCTATTGGGGCCAGGCATGGTAGCCTAGTGGCTAAAGTCATAGCCTTGCATGCACTAGGATCTTATATGGGCGTCAGTTCTAATCCCTATAGCCCTGCTTCCCATCCAGCTCCCTGCTTGTGGCCTGGGAAAGCAGTGGAGGACGGCCGAAGGCCTTGGGATCCTGCACCCTGTGGGAGACCCAGAAGAAGCTCCTAGCTTAGGATTGGCTCAGCTGTAGCCATTGTAGCCAGTTGAGGAGTGAACCAGTGGATGGAAGATCTTTGTGTCTCTCCTTCTCTCTGTAAATCTGCCTTCTCAATACAAATAAATCTTAAAAAAAAAAAAAAAAGATAACTATTAATGTTATGCATGGGAGCTGAGCCGTTGCTTCTCAGGACTGTCTTCCTCTCTGTGGGAATGTTGGGTTCATTTTCACAGAACATCTCCCCCGGTTTCATGTGAATGCAGGATCATTAGAGTGATCCCATGTGTGTATTTTCACCATTTCCCTTTTCTGTCAGCTGTGACCCTCAGTAGGGAACAGAGGCAACAACTTGAGGCCCCCTCCTGGCTCTGCACTGTCAGTACAGACGCCACCGTGCTTCTCCTCCCGGGTTTTCACTTCTCATAGAAGGAGCAACCAGAAAACTTCCTGATTCAATCACTTTTCACAGCAAGCTCATACAGTCTCTGCCTGAACGGGAAGCCCCTTTCCCTGCGATGGGACACCTGCCCATGGCCACGCAGCACTCCGACAGGCCGCAAGTGTTGGCACACATACTAGGACTCCTGGGATGCTTGGTTTCAGTCTGGCTTCGCCATGGCTGATACAGGCATGCAAGCACTCTGGCTCTCTTACCCTGCTTCTGCCTCCCAAATAAACAGAGAAAATAGATTTAACATGTTGGGGGCTGGTGTTGCGCTGTAGTTGGGGAAGACCACTGCCTGCAGTACTGGCAATTCATTTGGGCACCCTCTGGGGTCCCAGCTCCTGCACAGTGTGCCTAGAAAAGGGAGACCTGGGGGAGGCTCCCAGCTCTGTTGCAGCCATGTGAGGAGTGAACCAGCAGAAGTGTGTGTGTGTGTGACCCTCTATGTAACTCTGTCTTTCAAATGAATGAACACATCTTTTTAAAAAAATGTGTTTTGGAGGAGCCATTGTTGTAGCACAGCAGGTTAAGCTACTGATGGACACCACAGCACTGGTGAATCCTGGCTATCCCACCTCTGATCCAGCTGCCTGCTAACACACCAAGAGTGAACAGTGGATGGCCTAAGTCCTGGGGCCCCTACCACCCACAGGAGAGACCTGGGTGGAATTCTTGACTCCTGGTTTCAACCGAGTCCAACCTTAGCCATTGTAGACCTTGGGGAGTGGGTCATAGACAGAGCCTTTTCTGCTTCTCTCTGACACGTCTCCAAATAAATAAATCTTTTTTTTTTTTAATGTGTTTTGAAGGTGTTAGTCAAGCTTATTTCTAAATACATTTGTACCCTGTATTAGCCAAATGTCACTGTGCTGGCAAGGCCAGCCACTAAGCAGCACGGTTCAAAACAACAAGAACAGTAATTGCCCCCTCGGGGTGACTGACAGGATGCTCGAGGGAGCAAGGCTCTGCTCATCCCTTTGGAAGATGACTAAGCACCTGTTTTTCTTCCTCCCGCAAAATGTTCCAAATATCTCAGCCTAGAAAGCAAGAATGGTGTCAAGAACTAATGAGCACCTGTGGCTTCTGCCGAGGGACCTTCCGAAATGAGCCAGGAGCCTGTTTCCGAGTTTCTTTCTGCTTTGTAAAACGTAAATGACTGGGCCGGTGTGATGGCTCAATGGCTAAAGTCTCCTCTGGTAAGGGTCAGGATCCTATCAGGGCACTGGTTCATGTCCCAACTTCTCCATTTCCCATCCAGCTTTCTGCTTGTGACCTGAGAAAGCAGTATAGGTTACCCAAAGTCAGGTGGGAGACCCCAAAGAAGCTAAACTCCTGGCTCCTGCCT